GATTCATGGTGACGGTGATGGAGGCTTGAGTAGGCGAGGTAATGTTGTTATTGGAGGCGTAGCAAGTGAGGACAGCGTTGTGGAAGGTCCTTGACAAACGTAACAAACCGAGCTGGTTCTCAGTTATCGCTGAGGACCGAGACTCCACAGTAGCATCCAGAACCTGTCAGAGGTGGAGAAAGTAGGGGTGAGAGAGAGAGAGAGAGAGAGAGAGAGAGAGAGAGAGAGAGAGAGAGAGAGAGAGAGAGAGAGAGAGAGAGAGAGAGACAGAGAGAGACAGAGAGAGACAGAGAGAGACAGAGACACAAACATACAGACAGACAGACAGACAGACAGAAAAAGATAGAGAGAAAGAGAGAGAGACAGATAGAGACAGAGAAAAAAAGATCGCTCTGCTGTTAATTTGCTCTTAAACCTCTCCATTAAGTGTCACCAGTAGCTGAATAAATCCAACATTAGCTGTGTAGTAGCACTGAACATTGATGGCTCTCTCAGCACAACTACAAGCACTAGGAGTCTCTGGCTCTGCTCTGTGCCTTCTTAGTGGCTACCTTCAAGCTAGATCTCTAAAAATAGTTCACAGTAGAACAAAAACAAGACACAATCAGAGCTAGTGTATCGCTGGGTAGTGTTCTTGGTCGATTGTTATAGAATGTCTGTTTCATTAACCTTCAACTCGTCCCAGAATCCCTTCCTTATGCAGGTGACTGTACTCTGACATTTACTTATCGAGGAGAGTAAATGGCAGATGCTTCCGGTTACATCAATCACCGACTGACATCTACATCAGTCTGGGGAATGCGATGACAGGCTACATTTGCTTTTATGAAAAGACAAATAATGATGGTCTCTAAGTACCATAATGGTAATGATAATGCTAGAGCAGCGGTAAGAATGAATAGAAGAGTGTTAAGTCCGGTGATAAGTTGTATATCGTAGGGGTGATATTTAATAACAAAAAAAGGCACAATACCGTGACTGGAACGATACGTCGTCGTAAGCTCCTCTCTTCTATGTGCGGGTTATTTGTGCTATTTAATTCCATTTCGACTGAATAACCATCTAGTATATTTTGTAAGCAAGGCAGCCAAGAAGCTAGCAGCACTAATGTGTATCCTGTACCTGCTCTACAACAGAGGCTTCAAGACTTTATAGACACAATAACACTCTCAGTGACATCTACGACTTCTTGACAGAATAGAAAACTGAGCAAGACGCCTCATGAGATATATCTTCTTAGCAGAACCTTCAACACCTGAGGGATTTAGGTGTGCTTACTGTTATGTACAACGCCATTGTTGTCAAGATATCACACTTGGTTCCACTTCGTGAACAGCAAGAAGGCAGATTCGACACACGAAGATGGGCAGCAAATAACTGTAATGTGGTTGTACCTCTCTCAAGAATATCACTTCTTGTGAGATCATTCATTCCCTGAATGACAACAGTGAGATCAAGTAAACTGACCAATTGAAATTGGTGGGCCACAGATTGCCTCAGACTTCATCCTGTTCCCTATTTATGTTTGATAATAGCAAAAAAGGTTTTAATTGAACTGAGGTACGAAACAGTTTTTAGTTTTAATTTGCCAACGTTTCGCTCTCCAGGAGCTTCATCAAGCCGTTAACGGCTTGATAAAGCTCCTGGAGAGTGAAACGTTACCAGTTTTTAAAACTGGACACATATGCAACATCTGGGTATCTTTAATGTAGACGTTTCGCCATCCAGTGACTTTATCAATACAAATTCTAGGACATAATTTGAAGACAATAGAACTATATACAAAAGATGAGGCAATCAGTCCCTCAGCCTTGGAGTTGGTGTGAAGAGCACCGTAGTCGTGAAGAATCTGGAGCACAGGCAAGAAGGCTGGCGCTTATATACTGGCATGTCGGTACTGTATACTGTTCATGTATACTGTTCATGGAATGCTCTTCTTCAAGGTGATACTGATAACCAAGCAAATGCCATTAGTAAACATGTCCTTAATCTCCAACACTAATACATCCCTCACCGACAGTACGACGAATTCTTCAGAAACAGCCTTGGTTGGGACTACGTTGTCCGGAGACCGCTACTGCTAAGTGCAAAGCTTGGAGAACGAATAAGAGGTATCGCAGTATCTGTAACAGGAACCTGCACAAGCCGACCTGTCGCCAAATGGAAAATACCCCAGAATGAACCATCTCTAGATGAGAGGCTGACACAAAAAACAAACTGCCATTAGGAAGAGCGGATGTCCTAAACTTAGTGATCCTTTGTCAAAGTACGAGAAGGTAATTTACATACTAAAATTCTTTCACATCAGCATCTGAAGGATGGGACTATCTCTATTAGCAGTTATAAGAAAACTGACCTTTTCGTTGAAACCTCTTCTGTCAATTTGCAACTTCCTGATACAGTAAGGGAACCTCTGTTGCTAGCTGCATGAATTTTGTCATATGTGATAACAAAGGTGGAATGACGTATTACTTCTATATAAACCCCTCAAGAGCAAAGTAAAGGCTGTGTGCCCAGATAAAACGAGCCTAACATTGCTGAGTAGCAGTGCAGACCAGTTAGCATTACCTATGACTCGCCTCTATCAGCACTGCCTAGCACAGCGCATATGGACTTCTCTGTAGCAAGAGGCAAATGTAGTCTGTGTTCAGAAAAAGAAGAGCAGAGAATCAATCAATAATTACAGAGTAATGTCACTAATAAAATCACTGGCAAGATTCTTCAGAAAATAATCTCACGGGAGGTAACAGCGTTCCCGACAACCACTCCTTTCTTTGCAACCGTCAGTATGGCTTCAGGAAAGATCACTAAACAACTGATCTGGTGTTAATCCATTCCACTATGTAGCATTAGTCGCCTAATGAATCCAAGATTAGCTGTGTAGTAGCACGGGACTTTGCTGGATCTTTCGTAAGAGCATGGTGGTAGTACTTCAAACACTAGGAGTTTCTGGCCATGCACTATGCCTCCTTAGTGATTACGTTCAAGATAGATCTCTAAGAGTGATTCTCAATGGGACAGACTCAACAAGAACCTCAACTGCTATTAGTGTTCTGCAGGGAAGTGTGCCTGAGCCATTGTTATGCAATGTTTACTTCAGTGATCTTGCAGGTCACTAAATCTTGCAAACATGACGGCCAAAACAGCACTGAGGAATATATCGAATCTGCCCGACAGTATATGCTCAAAGACTGTACGACACTTAAGCGAGCTCACACTTTGAGAATGCTTCACTTTCTCGAACTGTCTTCCCTCTGTCTCAGCTGCGACTGCATGACTAAACAGAGAACAGAGGAAGACGACTCATCTCTCACCTTAACCCATCCTGGACAAATCTGTCATTTCAACAGAGCATTGAACATCTCAAGGATATGGGTATCCTTACTGTTATGTACAAGGCCAATGTTGTCAATGGACTACACTTGGCTCCGCTTCGAGGACAGCAAGAACACAGCTTCTACACAAAAAGACGAACATCAAACAGGAACTACATTATGGCTGAACTGTCAATTTGCAGATCGCGAATTATGCCCTTCGCCCACCCTTTCGTTTATTCACTGACTTAACTTGAGTTCATATAGTCAGTTGTTATTACAAGAGGGACACAGAAACACGTCTGCCCTGGTAGGCTGGAAGCGTCAAGAACATCACTTCATCTGAGAAATTTCTTTCCTAGATTGACTAGATTCTGGCTCATGTTTGTACATCATAATGACATCCATTATATAAAGTCAACTCACCAAATGAAGTCGCTGGCAACATATGGCTTCTACTTCATCTGTTCGTAGCTTATAAATAATAGAACTCTTAACCTAACCTTGTGATAATCACTGTGTAAAAAAACAAGATAGATGGAGAGAGAGAGAGAGACAGACAGAGAGAGAGAGAGACAGACAGACAGAGAGAGAGACAGACAGAGGTAGAGTGAAAGAGAGAGTCTGTGAGGAAGTTTCCTACAGCAAGTCCAGAATTTGTGAGAAAATGTGCATGTATGTGCCTGTTATTATACTTAATCATGAAGTATGTCCTATGTAGATGAATAGTTCAGAGAATCGACAAGTTGATAAATTAGACACATGTGCAACACTTGGGTATCTTTAATGAGGAAAAGTTTCGCCACACAGTGGCTTCATCAGTCCATACAAAGGAGAATGGTGAAGAACAGGAGGAATATTGAGGTAATCAGTCCTTCAGCCTTGAGTCGATGTGGTCAGTTTATCAATCTTGAAAAGATTACAGGATATGTGCGGAGAAGTATCTTATGTACTGTAGACAGGAGAGGTGCAGCAGTCGTAGGTGGTATCACATTTGTCCAATGTGGAAGTAGGTCATGCCTAACCCTTGGGCATGACCTAATTCCAGTTTGTGGAGCAAACTATAATAGTTCCTACCCCGACCTCTCTGTCTCTATCTCTTTCACACAGAATTATACGAGGTTAGAGTAAGGATTCCTGACTTTATTTACAAGCTAAGAGCTGTTACCTACATCAGCTCATTTGAAAGCATTTTTATTGTTATGAAACATACAAGTAAGGAACATGATGAAGTTCAAGCCATCTGTGGACCAGCAGTTTCATTTGACTAGTTGATTATATTTCTTTGATATGCTGTATGAACATGTTCCAGACTCGAGTCATCCTAGGAATAAATGATGACTCGAGTGATGTTCTTGAGAAGGGTACAGTCTGAGTGAACTTGCCGCTTGGTGCCCGTCTTGTGTAGAAGCTCACTTCTTGCTATCCTCGAAGTGGAGCCATGTGTCGTACTTTGACAATATTGGTCTTCTACATAACAGTAAAGCCACCCACATTCCTCTGCAGATGAGAAAGAGAGTAGCAATCCAAGAAAGTGGAGCATACTCAAGGTGTGTGCGTACTTGTGCCTCGTATAGAATCTTACAACCTCTACTGTCGAGCAGATGCGAGATACGTCGAAGTGCTGTAAGCTTCCTGGCCTCCTTGTTTGCAAGATTTACAACATGGTTCTTCATGGTAACTTTGGAGTCAAATTTCACACCAAGGACATCAACTTTGTTCCCGGGTACCAACACTCTCCCATTCATTCTTACCACTGCTCCAACATTACCATCATGGTGCCTAGAGACTATCAGCATTTTTGTTTTCTCATGAGCAAATGTGACCTGCCACCGTTTACACCAGGTTT